ACACACACACACACACACACACACACACACACACACACACGTGTAGATGCTAAGAGCAACAGGGAAAGGAAAGCCTTTTCAATAAATGGTGGCTGAAGCTGGATATCCAACATGCAGACAAAAGAAGAGGATTTTACACACCACACACCATTCATTCAACATGGATCAAAGACATAGATGAGCACACCCCGATGCACTAGGCGTGTAGAAGAAACTGGAACTGAGCACTTCAAACAAGCTAACCTGTGCTATGTCTGGGTCTCACCCTCCTTAGCAGCATGGAAGTTGTCCTTGTCTATTTTCTTCCCAAAATAAATTACAAATATCCAAAGTGTGTGTGTGTGGGGGGGGTAAGTATTAATGGGTAAGCTTATCAACTGTGGGAAGGAATACTGAAAATACTTTCAAGCAAACAGTATAGGCAGAATAGAAGCAGGACACTGTTTAACACAAAGGTAGATAATACTATTTATATTCTAGCTGACAAAAATAAACAAAAGAAACAGAAGTACTACTTAGAACTCTGAGCATGGGGAAAGAGGGTCAGCTGCATTGCCTCTTTGAGTGAAGTCGTACACCACACCATGTTGTTTTCACTTCTCTGAAGAAAGCAATGATGATGACCTACAGAGAAATTGACCAGAAATTTGCCAGACTCTTCCTTTTTTCTTTTCTAAAGCATCTTTACCATTTAATATGAATGGAATTTCTGGCTTGGGGGGGATTTAGAATATAAGAAAACAAATATCTTTATATGATCAAAGGATAAATACAAAAAAAGTTTCTAAATTGAGATATTAAAAACTCACGAAGCAATCTACAAATATTAAGTATCCCAGTAAAAGTCAATCTGTTTGTTTTTAGTTTAAATTTAAAAAAACAAAAAAAAGTCAATCTGCTTGCTACAATAACAGAGGAGACAGCAGACATAGCTGCTGTTAGGAGCTCACTGAGCATCAGGGCCAGGAGGCCTCACACATTCTTATGTAATCATCCCATACCCACAAATACCTTACCCAGGATTACCTGTCACTACAGTGAAACTTTAAAAAACAACAACAACAACAACAAAAAAAACAAAAGCATTGAAAAAAGGAGTTATAAAAGGAAAAACCTTGAGGAAGGATTGTTCAAGTTTGGACACCTCTTTCAACAACTTTTAAAGAATGAAATATAGCAGGGACGAAAGTGAATATGATCAAAATAAATTGTAAGAAATTCTCAACAAATTAGACATATTTATCTTAAAAATAAAAGATGACTTTTAAGTATCAGTTTATGTATCTAGCCTGCGCCTGGCACCCATGCAGTTTTAAACAGTACTATGTTCAGACACTGCACAGGTGCAAATTTAACACCTCTAGAAAGAGCTCCTGACCTTGGTGCAGTTCTCCCACTTAAAAGAGGATTAGCCTGGAGCCATCAGTATCCAAACTGATACTAATCACTTTCTTCTGATTAAAAGGGCACCTAAGGCCATTCGAGGCTCCTGCTAAGTCAGCAGCAACCTAGATCTCCCAGGAAAGCCTGAGAAATACCCATGATCCTGACTGTGCTGTGGGACCCATCTCTGTGTTCACAGTGTCACAAACCTGACTGTGACTGTGGGACTCATCTCTATGTTCACAGTGTATGTAATTTATGCTATGGTTGTGTTGTCATAAAATTTTATTTACGTTACATCTGGTGCTAAGTGCCCACAAGGTAATTGACTAGAAGCAGCTCATGTTGACTCTGTATAAAGCAGAGTTGATGGCAACCTTTTCTTTGTAGCTCTCAATCGTTTCACATGGCACTTATTACTGCTGTTGTTGTTTCTTCAAGATGGGGTTTCTCTGTGTAGCCCTTGCTGTGCTGGAACTTGCTATGTAGACCAGGCTGGCCTCGAACTCACAGAGATAGGCCTGCCTCTGTCTCTCAAATGCAGAGACTAAAGGTGTGTGCCACCCCGACTGGTAGTCATTTTTATTCTTCCAGAATACAGCACTAGCAATCTGCTTTGTTACTACAAGCCTAATCTACAGCAAATAAGAACACTGAAAACTGTATTAACTCTTCTCCAGCTGTTTTCACAGAATGATAATTTTTATTTTTCAGTGCTGGAAACTAAACCCAGGGACTTGTGCTCAGAGGATGAACACTCTACTGAGCTGTCCACCCCCAGCCCCAGAGAATGATGAACTCCATTAATGTCTCTAACAGACAAGTTATGTAATTGGAATTATTTTTATTTTCTATATATCTATAATTTCACTGTGTGTGTGTGTGTGTGTGTGTGTGTGTGTGTGTGTGTGAAAAAACAATCCGGGTCACCTTAGTCCCTGCCTTCCACCCTCATCTGATACTGGGACTGTTTCCCTGCTGCATATACCAGGCTAGCTAGCCCATGAGTTCTGTCTCCCACTATCACTTCCCTACAAGAGCGCTGGGATAACAAACACTCTTGTTACGGCATCCCGCTTTTTTATGAGTTCTGAAGATTCACACTCAGATCCTTATGCTCACATGGTGAGCATTTTTACCCAATGACCCAACCCTCCTCACCTATTTTAATAGAAGACACTATGATTATATTCTTATTGATGTTTTATATTTTAATTATTATTGTATAGAATATTCTTTTTTGTTAAATACCCTTAAAATGAAATGGTGAAGTGTAGTAATGAAAAGGAGACCTCTGTCTTCTTATCTTTGGAAAACAAACAAAAAAAAGCTACCTCAAAAGGTTAACATTCCCAGTCTGGAAGTCTCTCTCTACAGCACTTAGCACAATGAAACACAGAAATTGTTCAGTACAGTTGTTGACTACAACAAATGCAGAAGTCTTACCCAGGAGTCCAACATGACAGTCAGAGAGGATAGGACACAAATTTAATACAAAGGCATGGCTCAGGCCTACTGAGTCAATATAATATTTTCACTTTCTTGTGATCATAATTAACCATCAAAGCTAGATACATGAGAGAACAATAGGTGATTTGTTCCACTGAGGCATCACCATAGAGGTTACCCACCTGTGCAGCTCTTCTGTTTTGTCTTCAGTTGGACCTACGATTAGTAAACAATGGCGAAGGACAGCTGCCATGACACGGAACTGATGAGAGTCACTCTGTGGTAAATAAAGAGGAGAGGAAGAGTTGGGGGCTGCAAGCCTTAACAGAGGGGTCTGGTTCAGTAATACATCACTGTTCCCCAAACGTTCCTCTGCCATACAGGGAGATGGCAAGATACTCCAAACTTCCAAAGCAATAAGCAAGTTATTGCCATTCCACATGAATTAATAGCCACAACCACCTGCAGAAATGGTGGATGCCAGTAGGTGTTAACAGAGCTACTCTGTTCTATCTTTTTGAAAACTCAATTCACTTAACATACTATCCCAGTTTACTACCCTTACAAAACTTCAACAAATATAAGCTATACTGAGAGTTCTTTTATAACTGTCTGTCCATTTTTAATAATTTAAGAATAATGATCACAACAAGGTTTTTTTGTTTTGTTTTGTTTTGGTTTGGTTTTGGTTTTGGTTTTGAGAAAAGGATCTTGCTATGTAGCCCGGACTGGTCTTTAACCTGTGAAACTCTGCCTCCCAAGTACTGAGCAAGCAATAGGTATATACCAATGGCCACCAATTTTACTTTTTTTCCATCTTTTTAATTTCTGAGGTCTACACAGTGCCACAAATGGTCAGAATTGTATCCCCTTACTTTCCCAATACTTACTCATTGTCAGTGAATTAAAGACAAAGAGCTAGAGAGAAGGAAACTGACAACAAGGAATAAACCAAGTTCTGAATAATTGTTTTAGCTCTTCAACCTCCTATAATGAGGTCTTGGGCCATTACAATTTCTTCTTTTTCTTTTGGTGTGTATGCGCTATGTGTCTATGTGTGTACACACTTATGTGCAGAGGCCAGTGGCTGATTTCAGATGTCTTCCTTTATTGTTCTCTATTGCATTTAGCAAGGTAGTCTCTCACTGAATCTCTAACTCACTTATTTGCTAGTCTAGTGAGCCAGCTTGCTCCAAAGAGCCTGTCTCCACCACTGGAGCACAAAGACTATAAGGCAGGCACACCCACCTGGCTCCTATGAAGAGCAGAAATCTGATCCTCATGCTTGCACAGCAAGCACTTTACTGACAAACCATCTCCCTAGCACAATTACAATGTATTCAACCACCTGTATCAAGGTCCTATATCTCTCTGGGGTTTTGTTGTTGTTGTTGTTTGCTTTTTGAGACAAGGTTTCTCTGTAGCTTTGGAGCCTGTCCTGGAACTTTTTCTATAGACTAGGCTGGCCTCGAACTCAGAGATCCACCCGCCTCTGCCTCCCAAATGCTGGGATTAAAGGCGTGTGCCACCACTGCCTGGCATCTTTTTTGGGGGGGGGAGGGTGGCTTTTTTTTTTAACATAATGAAAAGGACACAGCAAAACAAAGATAATTATGACAGCCTGGATATGCTACAGTAGGTCTCTGTCCATGATGGTTTTTCCCCAATCTGCAACTGCAAACACCACTTTCTACCCTATTCCCCTCTTTTCATAAGCAATAATTTCAAAAAGTTCTTAGTATATAATTAACTTCACCTAAAGTGAAATATGTGTGCATATAGACACATATAATTCACAGCCTTTCTAAGATTCTTCCCACAGACTCTAACAAACATTAGGACACATTTTCATTACTCATAATATGGCTGAAAAATACTTTAAACAGCACCTCACATACAGATTTGAGACAGAGGAAGGCCTCAGTCATAGAAGGGGACAGTGTTACACTTGGAGTCTAGCAGTCATCTGCCTCTGATCTTCAGTCCCTTTCCACATTCTTCAACAAACATGAGGTTCTGCCAGGATTCAAGAAATGGTACGCATAATAGTACTTTAAAACTTGGAATAAGCCTGGAGTTGGTGGCACACACCTTTAATCCCAGCACTCAGGAGGCAGAGGCAGGCGGATCTCTGTAATTCAAGGCCAGCCTGGTTACTGAGTGAGTTCCAGGACGACCTCCAAAACAATACAGAGAAACCCTGTTTCAAAAACAAAACAAAACAAACAAACAAACAAACAAAAAACCTTGGAATAAAATATGAAAGTGAAGGGAGGGGAAAGAGAAGGAAGGAAATGAAATGTGACTGCTAGTGATGAAACAAGTGGCAAACAAGCAAGGGAGCTGGCAAAGGTAAGAGTTCTTAGAAAGGACCTGCTGGAAGCAAGGGCGATACAACTGTTGCATTCACCACCCATCCCCAATTCTTGAGTAAAAATTCTCCCATAAGTATACTCTTACTTGCCCTAAAGTACGTGAAGCAACGAAACCTATGTCAAACTAAATTATTACTTAACCACTGATAAGATTATCTCTTATGAAAATTGGCTTTGCCTGAGCTACTGAGCCCCATCTCCATCCAGATCTTGCTTTAAGTGACAGGGTCTCACTATGTAAATCAGGCTTTCCTTGAACTCAGACCGTTGTATTGCTCCTGCTCACTGCTAGAGGTTACAGGTGTGCAGTACAGCACACAGCTGCGCTTCCTTTTAAACCAGACAGCCCTTTATTCTGGAGGTGACAAACCTCGCTCAACATGATCAGGACAAGCCTCTTACAAATCTATCCATGTTGGTCTCTGCCCAAGCTGCAACTGCAAACACCACTGTCTACCCCATTCTGCTCTCTTCATACCTCTTATTCCCAAACTGTACTTTCTGTCTGCAATGTCCCCTTTGCCTATATCTACTTAAGTCTCTGTATGTCCCTGATCAGAGCAAACTTTTGAACATGGGCTGTCCTGCCTCTACTTCCTGCTGTTAATTCCTTTTTGACCTCCAGGAATCCCCCCACTCCTTTAACAGATATATTGTTTGGGAGGTTTTAAAGATTTATTTATTTGTGTATATGAATGCTCTATCTGCATGTAAGCCTTTATAACAAAGAAGAACATCAGATCCCACTATAGATGGTTGTGAGCCACCATGTGGGTGCTGGGGATTGAACTCAGGACCTCTGCAAGAGCAGCCAATGCTCTTAACTGCTAAGCCATCTCTCCAGCCCAGGAAGCTCCTTTTTTTGACACCTGATCTGTATCATTATGTCTTGTTAAAGTTTCTTTTGCGGAATAATTTGTAATTTCACATATTTAACTAAACTTTCTTTTTTGTTTTTTATTTCAGTTTTCAAGTTATTTAATTAACTTAAATATTAATTATTTACATATCCATCCCCCCATTCCCTCACCCTCCCATCCTCCCATGTTCCCCACCAATGCCCCCAATCCCCCAACTCCACCCCAGGGATAGTGAGGCCCTCCACCAGGGACCTTGAAAGTCTGTCATATTGTTTGGGGGAGGGCCCAGGCCCTCCTTGCTGTATCTGGGCTGCAATAGTATCCCTCCATAGGGAATGGGCTCCCAAAGTCCATTTGTGCTCTAGGGATAAACAATGGCTCCACCCTTAGAGGTCCCATAGACTGTCTTGGCCTCCTAGCTGGCCCCCACTTTTCCCAGCTTGGTTCAGTCCAATGCTGGTTCCCCAGCTTTATGACTAGGGTCTCCATGCTCTCACTAGGTCAGGTCAACTGTTTCTGCCGGTTTCTGTAGTACCGTCTTGGCTCCTTTGCTCATCCCTCCTCCATCTCCACAACTAGATTCCAGGAGTATGGTTCAGTGCTTAGCTGTGGGTGCCTGTTTCTGCTTCGAACAGCTACTGGATGAAGGCTCTAGGAATGGTAACCAAGGTAGACACCAATCTCATTATAGGGGAAGGGCATCAATGGCATTTTCTCCACCACTGCTTGGATTCTTAGTTGGGGTCATCTCTGTGGATCCCCTACCATTTCCCCTGTGGCAGACCTCTCTCCAAACCTGTACTGTCTCCCTCTATCAAGGCATCTCCTTTCTTGCCCTACTCAATTCCTCCCCCATCTCAGTCCTCTTGTTCTCCCTCCTCCCCACCCTGTGCTCCCACTTTTTTCAGGAGTTCTTGTCCCCCTCCCCTTCTTCTAGGGACTATGCAATCTTCTCTTGGGGTCCTCCTTGTTTCCTAGCTCCTCTGGTTAACTAAACTTTCACATACTTCATTTTCTCCACAAATTATCTTCATGAAGACAGAAGGCATGTGTTTAAACAGGTGAGCAATAAATGCTAATCCAAGTGGTCAAGTATGATATACAGAGAGAAAACTGTCCAAATTCTAAGTGTATAATTGAATAGCTTTTCACAATGTAAGCAGCTGGTATAAGCACCATGAGACTCACATAATGCCAGCATTAAGAACCCCAGAACTCTCCTATCCTGCAGATGGCATCCTCCAGAGCCCCAACCTCCAACATCCCATTAGCAAGTTTTGTTGCCACTGAACTTTGTATGGCTGGAATAAAACCAGTTCTCTCTGGTTGAGTCTCATCCATGTTGTATGTAGTTGGAGTGGTTCTAAGTGCTGAGCTGACCCACCCTTATCTGTCACAGCAAAAGCATGTGAGCCCGAGAGATGCTCTGAGCAGTCTGACGTTATGCATGACGCTTACAAAGATTTCCATTCCAGTGGAAAACGTCTGGGCCTTCACCACAGACAAGAAAACACTGGGGCCGGGCATTGGTGGTGCACGCCTTTAATCCCAGCACTCAGGAGGCAGAGGCAGGTGGATCTCTGTGAGTTCGAGGTCAGCCTTGTCTCCAGAGCGAGTGCCAGGATAGACTCCAAAGCTACAGAGAAACCCTGTCTCGAAAAACCAAAAAAAAAAAAAAAAAAACCAACCAAAAAAAAAAAAAAAAAAAAAAAACCAACCAAACAAACAAACAAACAAAAAAACCACTGGGGACGGTTCAGGAGCACCACTGGGGCTGAGCAGATGGCTGAGTGGATAAAGAGAGCTCCTGGTTCCACAAGAGACCCTGCCTCAGACAAATAAGGTGGGAAGTGATTGAACGAGACAGCTGACACACACATGCTTCCACACATGCACACATGCAAGCCCACATGTGCAAATACACATACACACATACATTGTTTCCAAAACAACACTGCTATCAAGAATGCACTGTATATATTACATCACAATGTACCAATGCACCCACCTCTCAATGGTCTCTTTGTCTCCTGTTTGGGGCA